CCCCACTGGCCCGGCCCCACTCTCACCACCTGTGCCCCTGCCCTTCTGCACCGGCCTCATCTGGGCCGGGTCAGCCCACGCCCCATCAAGACCTTGCTTCCCACCGTACTCCTCCGCGTCCACACGCCCTTTGTCCCTGCTGTGCTGGGGCCCACTGACCCTAATAAATAAAAGCCATTCCCTTGAACGAGCGTCGCAGGACTTGCGGGGGAGGCGGCTGGGGCGAGAAAGGACGAGGGTGGGGCACGCGCTCACCTTCCGCGAAATAGTGCGGGGCGTGGGGTTGTAGGGGGTAGATTGGGAAGCCATGGACTCCACCGCGGGCCCGTCTGAGACTCGGAAGCTGGATTCTTAAGGACCAAAGAAAAACTGTCCTCTGGTGAAAAAATGAAATGCAAATTACACTTTAAACATAAATAAATTAAATTAAACCTGAGGGCAATGAGATTCAGAGAAGTTGAGATGCCGGACTTTTGTTTCCTAGACTCCCAGAGGGAGGAAGTCAGTGAGCAGGCAAGGATCTTGCAGGGACCTTTCTAAAGCTTAATACTCCAAAGGGCCCTGCTATCACCAACATAAGTATAAAGCCTGAATAAACCTTACCTTTCCCCTTGATCTGAGAGGACCTCAGAGAAGGTTGCTGGATGCTGACTACAACTGGAGTTGAGGAGTAGAAAGAGACAAACTTCCTGGAGGAGTCTTGGCCACAGCCTGCCCCACCTTCGTTGCATTTAGCAGATTTGCAGGTCAGGTTGCTTTATGGAATCTCAGGCAGGTATTGAGCTAAGGTGTCCCTGACCATAGAGCAGCAGGGGCCTGGCACCTAGCAAGGAGGAAGGAAGCACCTCTATTCCAGACCTGGAGTTCCCAGACATGATTTCTCAAGGACAACAATCCACACAAATACAAATGGCAAAGGTGGAAACAAGTCTCCATGAGAAAAAGCCAATGCATGAGCCAACTGGTGATGGTGGTGGTGAGGAGGGGGCTTGAGGAATGTGCCAGTTGCATGTACGTGTGTGTCCCAAATCCCAAAAGGAGCAATGGAAGAGAAGGGATTGCTGTGTGACTGTTCCCCATGAGGGGTACTTTCTCACTTACCATCTCCCTCTATCTCTGTCTCTCTCTAGTGAGTACATGCATCATCTAGCGAAATTCTAAAAGAGAAAAGACAAGAAAAAAGAAAAGGCTTGTGTAAACAAGAAACAGCAGAAATAGAGCTATACAAACTTTCGAAAACATATCAGATACAAATTGTAAACCAACTTATGCCTGTGATATTTTAAGAAATAAGCAAAAATTGAGACCAGCAGTTGGCATAATGGCTATGTCGCTGGACTCCTATGTATTCAGCTGTCATTCATGTCCTGGACCTGGTGGCTTAAACTCACACTGGGTGCATATGCATGCCTGCCCAAGATCCCAAGAGAATGGAGGAGAAGGGGTTGCAGCGTGGCCATCCCCCTGGAGGGTGATTTCTCACTTTCTGTCTCTCTGTCTCTCTCTCTGTCTTTCTGGTGAGCACACAAGCCCTATAGCAAAAACCTCTCAAAAAAAATAAAATAAAATAAAAAACAAGAAGAAGCGAAAAGTCTGGAGAAAACTGTGCTCTCCCACCATTGCACGATTTAACTCAGCAATTCCCTCAGGAATATGAATTCCTATTTCTCTACCTTATCTTTTCCCTAAAACAACTCGTTTGCCCTCTACCAGCTCTCCTTACGATTACAAGATAGTTGCAGCAGCTCCAGGTCTTACATCCACACATATTCCAGAGGCCAAAAAGGGAGGTCATGTTTCTATGTATCTCAGAACGGTGAAGCATCACAGCAGACTTCTCTGAATGCTTCAGGAGCCATAATATCATGGGCTCACGACTTAAGGAATCAACAGGGGAGGGAAATGGTTGGATTGAATAATGATTCCATCTTTAAGCTAGGAATGGGAGATGGTAGCCTTAAAGTCAAGAACTTGAGGAGGATAAAACATTTCTACAAAACTCAAGCTCTAACAGAAAGGCTAAAAAAAAAGTATGTATTTGACAGGGAGAACTTAGAACAGAGGAAGCCATCTGCAATTGCCTTCTCGAGGTTGTCAAAATGTGCAGTTCACTGATAACATTCTCTAACTCTATGACTTTTGGCATCTGGTCATTTGACCGTTGTTCCTGGTGGAGTATCAACTCTAGTTTCCTCTGCCAAAGCAGATATTTGGACACCTGTAAGATGCATGCGTTTGTTGTTCTTGTGCTGATGGTTGTTTAATAGGATACTCCACTAGTTGTCGTTTTCCAGATTCCATGTTATGACTTAAGAGGATATCCAAAAAAATAAGTAAATAAATACATTTTTACAAAGAGGAAATGCCACTTGACATAATCAACTGTCATGTCTAGAATTTGGTGACAGATTTCAATTCCATAAAAATCCACAAGAATTTATTGTCAAGTACTAAGTTTTGATCATCAAAGGGTTTAAATATATTATACATCTGAAAGTTTGGAGAGGAAGAGAATTAGAATCAACAGGTGGAAGTTAAAGGAAGAAGGTTAAGTAGTAGTGGCCTTTCTGGGGTTGTTAGACTAATACAGAGCTTCACATTTCAAAGGTCTATCTTTTTAACTTCCTTTATGGTTGGCCAAGGAAAAGTGCTCTGGCACCACACTGAATAGCACTTCTCAGAGACAGGGATGATCACACCACCATGCTTGTAGACGGACCCTTCCCTGGCAATGATCCTGTAATCCTGGACATGTCCCAGTTTCAGCATATGTACTCGTTGTCTTGGCATAATTATTAATGGTGCCTCTTTCACGCTAAGAAGCATCTGAGTTTGGAAGAGAAATCATATTTAAGAAGAGTCACCCTCCTCTCTCCTATGTCCTATAACTGCTTGAACAACCTACTCAGTATCCTTATCTCAACTATTATCCCACACCATTTTTGAGGGTGGTAGGCACATCCTGGGAAAGCCAGCCTTGGGCAAGGAGTTAAGAGACAGCTCTAGAGGTCTTTGTCCCTAACTTGGGGTTATGCCAGCCTTTGGAGGCTCTACACTTATGCCTAGTCAGTTTTTATTAACCACCAGGCCACAGGGCAAGGACTGTTTTCATATTCTTTACAGATAATTCTCCCTTGTTACCTTCATCTGGGGCAGAACAAATCCACTTCCATGCCCTTGGTAAGTCACTAAAGATAAGGAAAACAGATGTAGATGTAAGTGCTATGGTAGACTTGTGTTCCCCAAAAAGATATGTTGAGATCCTAACTCCCACTATCTCAGGATGTTACTTTATTTGAAAATAGGCTCATTGCAAATGTAGTTAGTTAAGACGAAGTCATAATGGAATAGGGTGGGCCCTGATCCAATATGACTGATGTCCTCATAAACAGGACACAGAGGCACACACAGAGAGAACTCCAAGTGACAATGGAGGCAGAGATTAGAGTGATGATTCTACCAACCAAAGGATGCCAAGGATTGCCAGTAACTTCCAGAAGCTAGTAGAAAGGCATGGAATAGATTCTCCCTCAGATCTCTCCAGAAGGAACCAACCCTGCCTACACCTTGATGTTGGACTTCTGGTCTCCAAGATGGTGAGAAAATTAGTGTCTGTTGTTGAGGTCATACAGTTTATGGTAATTTGTTATAGCAGACCTAGGAAACTGACTCATAGGTCTTCAGGAAAATCGTACATGTTGGATCCTTAGCATGTGAATATACTTCCTATTTGGGAAACTGATGGGAGCAGCCATTCCCTTTTCCCACCCTTAGCATCTACCGCATGACAGCATCCTAACATGACAAATCACCGTCTCCTTCTGAGACTTTGATCTTGACAAAGTGACTTAGTCATCAATCTGAAGTTATCTGGTTATGGCAGTCCAGAAACACCAAGGCAAATGTGTGGGGACTGCTATGCCAGGCTTAGTTCCCATGTTCCTATCTATGTCTTTCCTGTTATTCTCTAGACTTCCTGTTGATTTTTGTGAGTTACTGAAGACCCTTCTAGAAAATTCCTTCTCTGCTTAAGTGAACCATAGTTCATTCCTGTTACTTGTAACCAAGAACGCTAACTGATATACCCTAGAAACTTCTTTTACCCAAATCCCTGTCATAGTTTTTTTTTCCACTTATCTACTTAAATTTTTCTCCTCTAAGCCTTCAGCATTCATTCTTCTGTTCATTTATTCATCCATCAAACATTTATTGTTGACTTCATATGCCAGATAAAGTATTAGGTGCTTGGAATCACAGTCTGTGAAGACATGAAGACATGGCTCCTGCTTTTAAAGAGCTCATAGTTGAGTTCAGGACAGAATAGTCAAGAAACAGATGAGTGTGATACAGATTGGTCAGTGCTATGATACAGAGGAAGGAAGATGAGGAAGTTTTCCCATGGCCATTGATCTTTGAATTGTGTCTTTTTTATCTTATTTTTTTAGTTTCTTTACTCATTGATTTCTTTCATGAGCAAGAGAGACAGCGTGAGAAAAGAAGAGGGAAAGACATAGAAATAGTGCCCTCAATAGAATCTCGATGCCATGATCCATTCTCAGCCTCAGCCAGCCCAGATCATGAACAAATGCATGTCCAATGTGTTCAGGGAGGTCTCCAGACACAAAACCAGAATCTTTCCATGTAAGTCAGCCTCACAGAACTGTCATGTTTCACAGCCACCATTCATTCCCTGAAATGTGTGTTGAATGGTAGGTTGGATGGCTAAGCAAGAAAGGAAAGAGCAGGGACATTCCATTAAGAGCAGAGCACTTCACAGAGCAGAGGGCTAGGTTACTGAATCAGAGTTCAGTTTGTCAGAACATCAAATTCTAGGCAGGGAGTGGCAAAAGTTGGAGCAATGGAGGTCAGTGCTACATGTTTTGCTTAGGAATTTGGACTTTATCCTAACAACAGCAAGTGATATGCAAAGTAAGGAGAAAGCACTGTATTATATCTGAGCATGATTTTTCTGGCAGTAGTGGAAAGAATTAACTGGGATTGGACTAGATTGACAGATAGGAAGACCAGATATGAAAGTATTAGAGCCATCTGGGTGATTTTGAAAGACTAAAGAGATTGAAATGAGGCCTCCAGAAGTCGAAGGATTGCCAATATCCACCAGAAGCTAAAAGAAAGGCATGGAATAGATGTTCTCTCAGAGCCTTCCTGAAAGAATCAACTCAACACCTCGATTCTGGACTTCTGGTTTTCAGACTGTGAGGGGATACATTAATGCTGGTTAGGTCACTCAGTTTGTGGTACTGGGATGGTGATAGGACTGGTATGGTGGTAGACAGCAAACATTGAAAGCAGGACAGAGATAAACTGAGGGATGAATAAGTGTATTCTGAATTCTCTGACTGTATGTCAGGTGGCGTTGGAGGACAGAGGCCACCATCTTGATCACTAGTGCCTGGCATAGTGCACTTTGATTTGTCTTCAAACTCGCTCTTTCCTCTGTGGTGTCCAATCTACCCTTGAGCCCATAGGCATTCTTAATTTTTATTACAATGTTTTTGATTTCTAGTATTTCCTTTGATTCTTTCTTAGCCTTTCAGTCTCTCTGCTTACTTTCCCATCTGTTCTAAAAAGTTGTCTGTTTTTTCCAGCAGAGCCCTTAATGTATTGATCATAGTTATTTTAAATTGCCTGTCAAGGGGCCAGACAGTGGCACAGTAGTAAAATGAGACATTCTATGGGGACACATAGGATGTTCTGATTCATGTCTGG